CTCTCTCCCCTCCCCATCCCACCCCCCCTCCTTCAGTAAACCTTTTCCAAATTACAAGGGGTGCAGGGAGTCACCCAGAAATAGCCCTCGCTCCCTCCTCCTCAGCCCATTTTACCCAGCAGCACTTGCATGAAACCGCTCAGAGTGGGACACGTAACGCTTTAACCTGCGAAAACCTCGTATCTCCAGAGCCGTCGACCTTGTAAAAAGCGTAAAAGCTAAAGCTTGTTTCCCAGAAAGGGCTCCTTCATTCACAGGCAGCAGTTTTGGTATCTTTTGTAGGTTCGGACATGATCTATGTATCTCACGTTTCACGAGTTTAAGCTTCCAAACATCCACATCCACACCTGCAGCACCTTGTCAGTCGAGCGACGGCTAAACCACATCTACTGTACGGAAAGCAGCGGTACATGGAAGTCAGTAAATGACGCCGACGTCTGGAAAGTGACCTGGGGAGTTCCAGCTCGCTCGGTGCCAGTGAACGTTCACCCGGCGTGTTAACAGATTTAAGCCTGGAGGGTTTTTTCCCTGTGGGCTGAGGGGAAGTTGTTCGTTTCTTGAGACAACTTTGTCTTCATGCCGTCCTTCGAATGTGCTGAGGCTCAACGCCGGAGACGACGTGTGTGCGTTTATTTCCCATGATAATGAATAATGCTGTTTGCAGCGTTGGTCAGCTGTGATCAGGATCCAACCGCACGACACGTTAGTGTATTGAAGAAATTACTTAACTACCAGAGGAAGAGGAATGCGTTTCCTGCTCCCCTGAGGCAGACTGTTCCCACATTATTGTTTCTTTCCAAGTAAAAAATAAATGAGTAGCTGATATTTAATCCTGCGTGTGTATAAATTCCAGGCTAATGAGCCGTGCCCAGGAGTAATTAGCTGTTTGTACAGGGATTCTTTACACCAAGCTCCCCTTATGGGGGTCATTAAAATATACCATTGTTATTGTTCTTTAATTGGATTACATCTCCACCCTCTGTGGTGCTGAGAGTGTACTCACTGTCTCTCCTGTCACTCCCTATCTTAACGCTTTAATCCTTTAAACAGCTGTGCATTAAAACAGAGCCAGTCTCGTTCAGATATATCGTGTCAGAGAAAAATGACTTCAGGTCTCATCTGATCTCGAGGCTCAGACCTCCACTCTTATATTTCCAGTTCTTCTGCTTTGTTACCGTGACGTTTCTGTCTGATTTGTGAACATTTGCATCAGCACGTCAGGTTTCCACGCAGGAGACACGATCCGACGTCATACCAGCGCACCAACGCGTGTTTGCCTTTTAGAAAGGTAATGAGACATGTTTACGGTCTGAACTGACACCAAGATAACTAGCTCGCTCTCTGTTGTTGCTGGGACACCTACTGCATGACACAACCCCCACAGGGACCGGTATAACATGCACACTCTGAGCGGATGGCAGGCAGATGAGTCAGAGTTCACCACCTGCTGCTCCTACATATTCTTAGAGCAGATAACAAGAAGGAGGGAAGAGAAATAAACAACGGAGAGAGAAATGTAGGTGGGTGTGGGATTGGTTAAAGAAGGTTTGGGATCGCGTCAGAGAAGAGTTCACTCTGCACCGTGAGAAACTCTCGGCACGATTTAATTATGATTCAGAGGCTGCCGTTATAAAACGGTTCATCGTTGATTTCTAGAATGTAATGTCACCAGAGGTGGACGAACGTCAGCATCTCACCTGGTCTACAGCAGAGATGCTCACAAGTCTCTGAGCTAGAGTCCAAGTCTCAAGTCTCTGAGCTAGAGTCCAAGTCAAGTCTCAAGTCTCTGAGCTAGAGTCCAAGTCTCAAGTCTCTGAGCTAGAGTCCAAGTCATGTCTCAAGTCTCTGACCTAGAGTCCAAGTCTCAAGTCTCAAGTCTCTGAGCTAGAGTCCAAGTCTCAAGTCTCTGAGCTAGAGTCCAAGTCAAGTCTCAAGTCTCTGAGCTAGAGTCCAAGTCTCAAGTCTCTGAGCTAGAGTCCAAGTCATGTCTCAAGTCTCTGACCTAGAGTCCAAGTCTCAAGTCTCAAGTCTCTGAGCTAGAGTCCAAGTCTCAAGTCTCTGAGCTAGAGTCCAAGTCTCAAGTCTCTGAGCTAGAGTCCAAGTCTCAAGTCTCAAGTCTCTGAGCTAGAGTCAAAGTCAAGTCTCAAGTCTCTGATCTAGAGTCCAAGTCATGACTCAAGTCTCTGAGCTAGAGTCAAAGTCTCAAGTCTCTGAGCTAGAGTCAAAGTCTCAAGTCTCTGAGCTAGAGTCAAAGTCTCAAGTCTCAAGTCTCTGAGCTAGAGTCCAAGTCAAGTCTCAAGTCTCTGATCTAGAGTCCAAGTCATGACTCAAGTCTCTGAGCTAGAGTCAAAGTCAAGTCTCAAGTCTCTGATCTAGAGTCCAAGTCATGACTCAAGTCTCTGAGCTAGAGTCAAAGTCTCAAGTCTCTGAGCTAGAGTCAAAGTCTCAAGTCTCTGAGCTAGAGTCAAAGTCTCAAGTCTCAAGTCTCTGAGCTAGAGTCCAAGTCAAGTCTCAAGTCTCTGATCTAGAGTCCAAGTCATGACTCAAGTCTCTGAGCTAGAGTCAAAGTCTCAAGTCTCTGAGCTAGAGTCCAAGTCAAGTCTCAAGTCTTTGATCTAGAGTCCAAGTCATGACTCAAGTCTCTGAGCTAGAGTCCAAGTCAAGTCTCAAGTCTTTGATCTAGAGTCCAAGTCATGACTCAAGTCTCTGAGCTAGAGTCCAAGTTCCAAGTCTCTGATCTAGAGTCCAAGTCATGACTCAAGTCTCTGAGCTAGAGTCCAAGTCTCAAGTCTCTGAGTTGGAGTCCAAGTCTCAAGTCTCTGAGTTGGAGTCCAAGTCTCAAGTCTCTGAGCTAGAGTCCAAGTCATGTCTCAAGTGATTACATTAATCGACCACCACAAGTTTGGCAAGTAAACGAACGCTCATTCATCCTTTCATAACGAACGACAGTCGTAGCTAAAGCAAGAAGCAAGCTAATGTTAGATGGCCAAGCCTGAGCTAAACATGTTCACTAACCTCAGGTTACTATCCTATGTTGCGTTCTTCTTTGTGTGGGTCTTTTTGGATGAAGTTTTAAAGCCAAAGTTTATGATGAATGGCTCAGCAGCTGCGGTGTTCGTTGTCAGGGAGGGAATAACAGCAAGCTCATCAAACGTTTCCTAAAAATAAACGTTTACGAGTCCCACACCTCGAGTCCGAGTCGAGTCGGAAGTCTTTTGAGGACGAGTCTCAAGTCGAGTCTGAAGTCACTGTGTGTGCGACTCAAGTCGCAAACTCGAGTGATAATAACCTGATGTACCATAAAGGTATGCTGTCTATTAGCTTGCTGTACACGCTAGCCAGTTGGGAACATGCTAGTGCTAATCAGTCACAACAGAGCTTCTCTGGTTACTCTGCCGGCAGTTTGTTCTCAGGGTTGTTCATCACTTTCTTTGCATAATGACTGTTTAATGGATTACCATGAAATGTGGTTCAGACCTTCATGTTCCCCTCCGGATGAACTTTAATAACTTTACTTTTCTGCTAGCATGGATGTTTTCAGAATGCTAATTTATTTTTGACATGTTGAATAAGAATTACACAAGTCATACACAAATTTTTAAAGATTCATTCCTACATGGACAGACAGACCTGATGACCGGCTGGTAAAAGATAAACGAGGGTCAAAGCAAGAACATTCACTGAAAATCCAGTCCTCACTTTGAGAAATGCAAAATGATGCAGAAGCAAAGGTTAACTCTTTTAATGTCTCATCCTCCCCACAGCTGATTGGCTCAATCATCGGTCGCCAGGGCACCAAGATCAACGAGATCCGGCAGGTATCGGGGGCTCAGATCAAGATCGGCAGTCAGATTGACAGCACCAGTGACCGTCACGTCACCATCACCGGCACACCGATAGCCATCAACCTGGCTCAGTACCTGATCACCTCATGGTAAGCATCCAAGCTACAGGGACGGACCTGAAGACCTCAGAACCACATGACCCACTTAATGGACAGAAGTGAAAAGGACAAACATTAGATCCAGTACAATGCAACTACTGTTGGAGTTAGATTTTCATCTTCCACTAACTTCACTCACGTCTCCCCCAGAGAGAGACAGAGCTCAGATTAAATGAAACAACTCTGTTCAGCTTTCTAACCCAAATCATTACGTCCCATCATCTCATGCACTGAATAACGGAGAACACTGGACTCATACAAAGCCGCCGTGTCAAAGTCTTGTTTCTCGTTCTTATTTATAATGATCTGGACGTCATCTTAGAATAACAACAAATACATGTTCAAGCAGATCAGGCTGTGGAAAGTCCTCGTGCCCCCTCCCACAGTATTCAGTCTCTAAAGATGGTCGCTGTGTCGGATTAGGAGGTTGTAGAGTCAAAATTTCTTTGAGACATGACAGGCTGCACATGTTGGTCACCGGCCAATCCTAGCTTACCTGCGTGATGTCATCAGAAAGGAGGTGCTCGGTACCGACCATTTGAAGGCAGATCAAATGCTAATAAAGATAGAGATCGATAAAAAGCGAAATGCTGTCAGACGAGAAGCCGACGTGTTCTGAGATTTCATTTGGGTTAATATGTTCCGCCTCTTGCTCTCCACACGGACTGTTTACCTGCATGCCTGATTTCTACTTCTGTTTCGAGGCTACGCCGTACCCTACATGTAGCCCAGTACCCAACGCCATAGCATGACACGCACCTCCCCAAAAATGTAACAACACGTCGTGGCGACACAGACAGCATGACCTGTGATTGGTTGGCTCGGTGCTTTAAAGCCAGTTTTACTTTAAACGTGATTGGTTGATACAGATTCTGCGTTCATATGCAGATATCTGTTACAGAGAGGCTGACATCATATAGTTTTAGCCCGGCATCAGTCAGCTGTTTACAAATCAATATACTTCCTGCTCCAGCAGGCTTCAGACCCGTCAATGAAAAATGCGGCAAAGAAGAAGTAAAACTTCATCGATCGTGTCACGACTTTTTTATTAAATGGCCAGAGCACCTGTGATTACAGGTGACCAGGGCCGCGTCGTTAATTCATCACATGTACCTGTCAATCATTATCGGCGGTGATGTCTCAGTAATGATAATGTCCAAAAGGAAATGACTGATTTAGTGCTCACGCTTTACAATAAAGCATGAAATGAAAGGTTATAAACAGGAAAATAAAATAAAGGATGATGATGATACACAAATGGTAATTAATACAAAATGAAGTTTGATTGCCTTATTTTTCATCTCCACATGATCAGCCCACCCACAGCTGCACATTTCAGAAACACCAGTTTATTTATGTGGGGAAATGATGTTTTACATCTGCAGCCTTCACACAGTGAGGACGTACATAGTGTTTTTATTACCATAGCAGTTTATTGACTCATAAATATCATTAACAGAAATTCACAACATACAAACAGTGATGGCAATATTGTTCTTAGCATCACTAACAGTCTGGATGTTTATCTAATAAGCTCAAAATCCCTGCCACCGATATTTTTGTGACAATATTTGGATAAAATGATCATTTTTATGTAAAAAGCTCATCTGTCTGCCCTTTAAGTGTAAAAGTTGGATGAAAAATGCTAGATTTGGTTGTTGCAGAATCTGTCACACAGCAGTAGATGTTGTTGAGTAAAGCTGAGTGGCTCTTAAAACAACGGCAGCAAAGAGAACTGAACCTTTTATTGTGCTGTGGATGACGTGCACTCCAGATCGTACATCTGTAGGATTCATCACACAAGAAGCTTGACATGATAAAGAGAAAGTGCCTCCTTCACACGGACGTTTAATATGAGAGACGCAGGATCCAGACTGCCAGGCAGGTCTAATACAAGCCACCACCACCATGAATATGCAAATTTATGATTGGACTCTGGGTGAAATTGATATTTCACTCTCTACTCGTCCTGCAGCTGACAGCAGGGAGAATAGGCTGGTGAATCCCCCACACACTGAGTGTAAAGCACACGTACGGCGGGTCAGCCTCATTCAGTCTGAAATGTCAGGGCAGGGAAGGTGAGAGTCTGACGCCGAGGTGTCCGAGACGAATCCCTTAGATTTTTTTTAATCAGTCAACAGACAGATAAGACTTCTGCTGTCTCTCACCAGCTGACCTCAGAACAGCAGCTGAATTAATGCTGGAAGCTGCATGAAATGTCATCACAGATAGTGCTGCTGTAGTAGATACATGCATCAGTGCTGGAAAGTAACTTGGATGGATAAGACACATGTCTTTGGTGTGAGAGACCCTGGTTCAAGTCCGCTGTGACACCATGTGTCCCTGAGCAAGACACTTAACCCCTAGTTGCTCCAGTGGCGTTTGACCTCTGACATATACAGAAATTGTAAGTGGCTTTGGATAAAAGCGTCAGCTAAATGAATAAATTAAACTTATTGATTGACAGCGAGATGGACTAATCGCTTCATGTTCTCTGTGATGAAACAGGATGCAGCTTCACTGAGAAGATGCAAATCAGTATCTTTATCCGTGCTGTGCGTGCACATGAGGACGCGACACACATTCCTGCTGCCGGTTTCATGCGATGCCACTAACTGACAGCTGCAGCAGTGCAGCAGCAAATGCAGTGAAGGAGGAGCAGACAGAAAGCCATAAAACAGGGATTTAAATAGGTTTTAAATGGCATTCTTTTTTAAATGCCATTGCAAATGTTTCATGCAGGAAAGAAATGCATTGAAATTATCCTTTAAATGTGTAGATCCAGTTCTAGTTACCACAGGAAGCCGTGATCCTCAGCACCAAGGCTTCATTACCCATGGGCCCCAAACATCACAGCAGGATTTGACTGTTTGAAGTTCACCTCTTACATCAAACACAGCCGTGGTGGTTCCTGCACATCTCATGCATCTTTGTCAACACGTTGCTTCAAGGCCCTCCTTGCATTCTGCGGTTTCCAAAATCCAGTTAAACTACTGTAGTTTTTCATTTTTAAGACAAATGAAATTCTGCAGCAGCCATCTTAATTGGCTGGAAACAAGTTGTGGCTTGTTCCCTTTCTCTGCACACTGGGACAGGAAATGTTGTTCCAGCAGAGGAAACAGGCTAAAACAAAGCTGTGGCAGTCGTCTGTGGGCTCTACAACAAGGTACACCTGCAGTCCAACGTGGTCTCACTCAAGTCGTCACATATGGACAGTGTTGGGTAAGCTACTCAGAAATTGTAATAATTTTTTAGTTATTACTCCTTAGTAATAACTAATAATAATAATAATAATACTTATTACTGCGTAATAAAAGTAACATGCGTTACTATATTACTTTCACTACTACTACAACAGGACTTTAAACCAGGAGACGGGAGGTGATGGAGCAGTGGATAAGACACATGCCTTTGGTGGAGACCTGAGCAAGACACTTAACCCCTCGTTGCTCCAGAGGCGTGCGACCTCTGACATAAATAGCAGTTGTAAGTCGCTTTGGATAAAAGCTAAATGAATAAATGTAAATGTGAGACGGGTTTTCATTTACTTTGTAAAACGAAAAGTCACCATTTAAGGTTAAGTAACGTTATTTAACCTACGTAAGTTAAGTCATGTAAGTAACGTTACTTTAACCCAAACAATGGGTCTAATAAACCTAACCAAACTTTTTACAACATTAACCACTAGTTTTACATATTTACTGTTGCTAACTTGACCGCGGAGCCCTAAACGTAGAAAAGTAACGCTAAAGGGTCTTGACCAAGCGTCCATATGTGAGGAGTTGGGAGTGGGAACGTGTTGTTCAGTCTGGTCCCTAATGGAGCTTAGTATGTCATCATCTGCATCAGCCCCAACATTAGATATTGATTATCAGAACGTTACCTCACAGTGGCCATCTAAGACGTCGCCTCCCTCTCTAGTGCAGACCTCAGAACAGTGCATTGGCTTTGTGTGGTTTTGTCTGAGACAAATGGAGGCTCTGATCCGTTGGGGAGCCCCTTTTATCTGCAGTTGATTATTCACGCCTTGGAGCGTGCTCCTTCGGGATCTTCTTGTGCAATCAGGGAACCTGTCAGACACAAACTCTACAGTGAGCAGAGAAAGGGAAGGAGCCACAACTTGTTTCTGTTCAGTCATTTATTTGGCTGATCCATTTAAGATGGCTGCCGCAGAATTGTTTTTATTTTTCTGTAAAACTGAAAAACTACAGTAGTTTAAATTCTTGGCCTGAACAGCCTTTCACCTCTGACAAACACCACGCGAGAGCTGGATATTATTTTAAGGTTTTAAACTCCGATGGTCATTTTTCTCTGATGGATATTTTTTGTGTGCTGATGGTCGATGATCCGTACACGCGCTAAAAATCTAAAAATAAAATGTGAAGATTTTAGCTACTGTAATTATCTGCTGACGTCTAAACCGTTGGACAGTTTGTGGGTGAAGTATTCGTTATTTTGACGCCCTAACCATTTCCTTTTTGGAAGAGAGCTTTCTTTTTATGTCAGTTTAGTTTCATCCTTCTTTACATTCAGCTAGTGCAGTTAGAGGACTTGAGCTCTGATTGGGTTTCTGATGGACATGGGACAGGACTTGAGCTCTCTGACTGGGTTTCTGATGGACGTGGGGCGGGACTTGAGCTCTAACTGGGTTTCTGATGGACATGGGACAGGACTTGAGCTCTCTGACTGGGTTTCTGATGGACATGGGGCGGGACTTGAGCTCTGACTGGGTTTCTGATGGACTTGGGGTGTGACCTGAGCTCTCTGACTGGGTTTCTGATGGACATGGGGCGGGACTTGAGCTCTCTGACTGGGTTTCTGATGGACATGGGGCGGGACTTGAGCTCTGACTGGGTTTCTGATGGACTTGGGGTGTGACCTGAGCTCTCTGACTGGGTTTCTGATGGATGTGGTGCGGGACTTGAGCTCTCTGACTGGGTTTCTGATGGACGTGGGGCGGGACTTGAGCTCTCAGACTGGGTTTCTGATGGACGTGGGGCGGGACTTGAGCTCTAACTGGGTTTCTGATGGATGTGGGGCGGGACTTGAGCTCTCAGACTGGGTTTCTGATGGACGTGGGGCGGGACTTGAGCTCTAACTGGGTTTCTGATGGACATGGGGCGGGACTTGAGCTCTCTGACTGGGTTTCTGATGGACGTGGGGCGGGACTTGAGCTCTCTGACTGGGTTTCTGATGGACATGGGGCGGGACTTGAGCTCTCTGACTGGGTTTCTGATGGACGTGGGGCGGGACTTGAGCTCTAACTGGGTTTCTGATGGACATGGGGCGGGACTTGAGCTCTCTGACTGGGTTTCTGATGGACGTGGGACGGGACTTGAGCTCTCTGACTGGGTTTCTGATGGACGTGGGGCGGGACTTGAGCTCTCTGACTGGGTTTCTGATGGACATGGGGCGGGACTTGAGCTCTCTGACTGGGTTTCTGATGGACGTGGGGCGGGACTTGAGCTCTCAGACTGGGTTTCTGATGGACATGGGGCGGGACTTGAGCTCTGACTGGGTTTCTGATGGACATAGGGCAGGACTTGAGCTCTCTGACTGGGTTTCTGATGGACGTGGGGCGGGACTTGAGCTCTCTGACTGGGTTTCTGATGGACGTGGGGCGGGACTTGAGCTCTCTGACTGGGTTTCTGATGGACATGGGGCGGGACTTGAGCTCTCTGACTGGGTTTCTGATGGACATGGGGCAGGACTTGAGCTCTCTGATTGGGTTTCTGATGGACATGGGGCGGGACTTGAGCTCTCTGACTGGGTTTCTGATGGACATGGGGCGGGACTTGAGCTCTCTGACTGGGTTTCTGATGGACGTGGGGCGGGACTTGAGCTCTCTAACTGGGTTTCTGATGGACATGGGGCGGGACTTGAGCTCTCTGACTGGGTTTCTGATGGACGTGGGGCGGGACTTGAGCTCTAACTGGGTTTCTGATGGACGTGGGGCAGGACTTGAGCTCTCTGACTGGGTTTCTGATGGACATGGGGCGGGACTTGAGCTCTAACTGGGTTTCTGATGGACATGGGGCAGGACTTGAGCTCTCTGATTGGGTTTCTGATGGACATGGGGCGGGACTTGAGCTCTCTGACTGGGTTTCTGATGGACATGGGGCGGGACTTGAGCTCTCTGACTGGGTTTCTGATGGACGTGGGGCGGGACTTGAGCTCTCTGACTGGGTTTCTGATGGACATGGGGCGGGACTTGAGCTCTCTGACTGGGTTTCTGATGGACGTGGGGCGGGACTTGAGCTCTAACTGGGTTTCTGATGGACGTGGGGCAGGACTTGAGCTCTCTGACTGGGTTTCTGATGGACATGGGGCGGGACTTGAGCTCTAACTGGGTTTCTGATGTACATGGGGCAGGACTTGAGCTCTCTGACTGGGTTTCTGATGGACATGGGGCGGGACTTGAGCTCTCTGACTGGGTTTCTGATGGACGTGGGGCGGGACTTGAGCTCTCAGACTGGGTTTCTGATGGACGTGGGGCGGGACTTGAGCTCTCTGACTGGGTTTCTGATGGACATGGGGCGGGACTTGAGCTCTAACTGGGTTTCTGATGGACGTGGGGCGGGACTTGAGCTCTCTGACTGGGTTTCTGATGGACGTGGGGCGGGGCTTGAGCTCTCTGACTGGGTTTCTGATGGACGTGGGGCGGGACTTGAGCTCTAACTGGGTTTCTGATGGACGTGGGGCAGGACTTGAGCTCTAACTGGGTTTCTGATGGACGTGGGGCGGGACTTGAGCTCTCTGACTGGGTTTCTGATGGACGTGGGGCGGGACTTGAGCTCTCTGACTGGGTTTCTGATGGACGTGGGGCGGGACTTGAGCTCTCTGACTGGGTTTCTGATGGACATGGGGCGGGACTTGAGCTCTCTGACTGGGTTTCTGATGGACGTGGGGCGGGACTTGAGCTCTGACTGGGTTTCTGATGGACGTGGGGCAGGACTTGAGCTCTCTGACTGGGTTTCTGATGGACATGGGGCGGGACTTGAGCTCTAACTGGGTTTCTGATGTACATGGGGCAGGACTTGAGCTCTCTGACTGGGTTTCTGATGGACGTGGGGCGGGACTTGAGCTCTCTGACTGGGTTTCTGATGGACGTGGGGCGGGACTTGAGCTCTCTGACTGGGTTTCTGATGGACGTGGGGCGGGACTTGAGCTCTCTGACTGGGTTTCTGATGGACATGGGGCGGGACTTGAGCTCTAACTGGGTTTCTGATGGACATGGGGCGGGACTTGAGCTCTCTGACTGGGTTTCTGATGGACGTGGGGCAGGACTTGAGCTCTAACTGGGTTTCTGATGGACGTGGGGCGGGACTTGAGCTCTCTGACTGGGTTTCTGATGGACGTGGGGCGGGACTTGAGCTCTCTGACTGGGTTTCTGATGGACGTGGGGCGGGACTTGAGCTCTCTGACTGGGTTTCTGATGGACGTGGGGCGGGACTTGAGCTCTCTGACTGGGTTTCTGATGGACGTGGGGCGGGACTTGAGCTCTCTGACTGGGTTTCTGATGGACGTGGGGCGGGACTTGACCTCTCTGACTGGGTTTCTGATGGACGTGGGGCGGGACTTGAGCTCTCAGACTGGGTTTCTGATGGACATGGGGCGGGACTTGAGCTCTCAGACTGGGTTTCTGATGGAACGTTGGTTGTGCTTCTTTTCCCTGTTTGTGAACCAGCAGGATTTTGACTGAACTTCCATCCTAATATTTCTATAATGGTTGTGTTTCCTCCTCCCTAAGCCCCCTCCCAAGCCATCACCCCAACTGATACAGCACACCCCCCATCCGTACAGCGAACCCCCTACAATAATCTGTTGCAACCTCCAGCAAACACACCTGTCTTATGATTTTAGTTTTGTCATTTTTACTCTCCAAAGTATCCTGTTTGTTTGTTTGGATTTTTTTGGGTTTAATTTGATTTTTGTTTTTTACTCTTTGATTTCTTTTAACATGTCTTTTATTTAACCCTCTAACCCTTCTCCATCCAAACCTCCCTCTCCCTTACCCCTCTCCTTCCCTCCCTTCACCCTCCGTCCCTTCCCTCCACCTCCTGTCCCTCCCTCCCTACCCCGTCCCTTCCCCTCCTCCAGTTTAGAGACCGCCAAATCCACCGCCCAGTCCTCCTCCATGCCGTCTCCCGTTGACCTGACCATGAGCTTCACCCAGCCCGCCCCCCCTGTCTCCGCCTCGTCCTCCTCCTCCTCCCCCCTGGCAGCGATGGGCGCCCCACTGTCCCATGCTCCCATGCTGGGCGCTCCCTACGCCCTCCCCCTCTCCAGCCTCCTGGGGATGAAATCCATCCCTTACCTGGCACTCTCCACCCCTCCTGGTTCAGCGGCGGCGGCCATCGGGGCTCCCATGTTGCCGGGTTCGATGCAGACGGCGGGCGTTCCGGTCCAGGCTCACGCAGCGGCAGCTCTGGCGTCCTACACGGCCAAGATCTCGTCCTCCGCCAACGGGATGAAGAAGCCGGAGAGACAGAAGTTTGCGCCGTACTAAAGACGGCGGCGGCATGAAAGGATGAGTTCGCATCACTGAGGTAGCTTCTGGGACTGAGGCTGGTTTTCAGATGGAAGGGCAGTTTTATTTTCTCTCTCCTTATCACTCTCTCTTTCTCACTCCTTCCTCTGCCGCCCCGTCTCTTATTCCTTTCTTCTTGATCACTCAAAAATTTCAAAGTGGGATAATTGGAACACGGATGATTTCAGACGTGAAGCAGCGAACAGGGTTTGTCCGAGCAGCGCTGCACGGTGCGAGTCTTGGTTCACCGTGGTCGGCCCTGCACCTGCTGTGGAAACATGTCGTCTCGGCACAGAACTTGTTGCTTTAGTTAAATCAGAGCCTACAGAAGTCAACTCAGAACCTGCTGCCAAACTCTGTTAACTGATCCCAGCCAAGAGCTCTGTGTGACGTCCAGACACCAAGCTGCAGAGGCTCATGGGTAATCAGAAATGCAGTGAAGGGGGGTTAAATGTTCACGCTGATGTCTGTCTGAGCTCCAGAACAAACAGAAGTTAAAGAGTAATTCTCTCCATCTTGCTTTCTTGACCTTTTCTGTCTTTGAGCTCTTAAATGAGACGGGACTAAAATATCCGGCGTCCGATCACATGTTCTCATAATGCTGACGGTCAGCGCTGATTATTAGGCCGCATGTGGGATATTTATTACTTTTCATTTCTCACTGGTGATAAAAAATGTGCGCAAGCAGAGAATCCTGTCCGGCAGCTTCTTAAAGATGATGGATCACTAAACCCAGCCGGCGTGATGCTTTGTTTTGGTGTTTAGCGTCGCTCATGCATGAAAGCTGCACTGGGTTAATAAGCCGCTCAGGGTCGCGGACTCCTCTCTGCTTCCCCAGTGGAGATAAGTTGTCTTCAACACAGCCATAACTCAGAACGTGGGCTCACGGGGCCACAGAGCGCATCAGCTGACATCTGCTGGGGAGTTAACTTTCCTTCCTGCGCAGACAAACCCACGTTCATGTCTTTGAGTGCAGCCTGCAGAAACAGCGAGCTCGCGGTGAAATGGACCGTGACGTGTGCACCCAGAGACATGAAGACAGCATCAAGCTCTCCAGCAGGTCTGAGCGTTTCAGGCTTTCACGTCGTCGTCGTCGTCGTCTTCCAATAATCCCACTTTGCGTCTCAGTAAAAGACGCTTTTGTTGGACTTGTGTTGGTGACTCTGCAGCTCTGCCCTCGTCGGAGCAACTCTTTGGAGCTCCTGTGTGATGAAACTGATATTAAAGGTCGTTTGGGCCACAAAGCCTGTAAAAGCCATAGAGACTATTCAGCTTTCCCCTCCTCGTCTGGTTCCTGCTCTCTTTTGTCCTTATGCTCTTGTATACTCTCGTATTTATTGACTAATATTCCCTCAGAGTTTCTATCACTGGTCACTAACACTGAGCCGAACGACTCGGCTTTTGTATACAAAGATGTCGACTTGTATTTGACTACTTCCTTTCTGCTTCCTGTCTCGGTTTTTCTTTACTCGTGGTATTTGTTGTATAGAGTTTTTAAACACACATACTAGATTTAAAGACGTCTGTACTTGTTTTTGTTCACAATTCTCATTTGAAATGTGTTTAAATTATTTTTTAACTTATTAAAAAGGAGGATTACATTTATAGTTGTAGAAAAACCAACGTGGCTGCAGGTCATTACTGTAAAACTAGATCTGAGGCTTGTTTTTTTTTAGTTGTGTGAACACAAAAAAAATACTGATCACTGTAATGGTAATAACCCGATGTTTCTGTTAGAGTAGTGTTTTCACTCGTGAGCTCAAACTGGACGTTTTACCACACACACCTTCTAACTGTCGGCGCTGCTTCTCAGCTTTCAGCATCCACGGAACTACAAGTACAACCGCCGCTTCCTGCGACACATAACTCTTGTGTCCTGGTGTAAAGGAGCTTCAGGTGCTGTGGCGGCTGCAGTTTACAGAAACAATCAGAAATAAGTGCAGCGAGGAGCTTTGGTGAAGTTATTCAGTGCTGTTAATCACTGTCAGCTGTTGGCAGATACTTCAGGGACACGCTGTGATAAGATGCGGCTCAAATCTGGCTTTTCCTGGAGGTTTACCAGACGAATCCATCACTCACTCACTCACAGTGTCACAGATGAAAGCAACATGTCGCGCTGTAAAAGTACAGCAATCCATCAGAAAGACCTGATCATAGATATAAACCTGGTAGAAAAGGGGCCTTCAGGTGCCGACATTAAACCAGCTACTAATTAGCCAAAACCAAAATATCAGTAAGCTCCCGCAGCAGCCTGCTGTGACTCACATTTACACTTTCATTCAGTCTGCTAATGACCACACGTTCACGAGCAGTGGCAGGCTGCAGACACACGGAGCCCTGTAAACGTTATGCATTGATATTATTAGCAGTCTGCTGGTGACGTTAGTTCCTGTTTAGTTTTCATTGATTTGTAGTAAAGAACCAAACAAACCTCTGGACATTTTTATAAAAATATCTGTTTCTTTCACAGAAAATAATGAGATAAATACTGGTACCAAAATCAATAATGGTAACAGCACACCTGCAGCTAACCATTCGTGTCATAGATGTTATTAAGTCGATTATTTTACCGTCACACAGGAGCAAAGAATCCAGAAAATATTTAAGAAGCTGGAATCAGAGAATTCTCCTTAATAAAATGACTCAAACCGATGAATCGATTATCAAAATAGTTTCCAACTAATTTAACGGTTGCAGCTGTAATGCAGGGCTGCTACACTTCAGTAAAGAATAATCAGAGGACTTCAGAAGTGTTGATCCCAGCTGATGGAGAAGCGGATCAGGACCGCGGTTCTTGAGCTTGCTGTGGTTCTGTGTGCGTGTGAAGGCAGAAAGCAGCGCTGGTTTTCCTTCTGTTTCTCCAGCTGACCTGACGCTCAGCTCGGTTTACGGTCCTGCAGGGGGGGCGGAGACTAATGCTGCATGTTTGCTTGGCCTCACTAACACACACACACAGATACATGTAAATACACACATAAAGATGATTAAAGTGGTGGAACACACACACACACACAGGCCCGGTCGCTGCACTGACTCCTCCTCACTGACGCCGTGAACTCAAAGCAATACTGAACAGAGCCGGATGAGTAGCATCACACAGGCAGGCAAATATACGTGTGTGTACTTTTCAGCTGTACATGAATATTTAAGTCGATGCATTCGAGTTCTCTGTTCCTTTAGTTTGGTTTCAAAAGTGCTGATGATAACAACGTGGTATATTAAACCAGCTCACTTATTTTTATAAAGTCAGATAACCTTGTTGATGAACTGAATTTAACTGTTGGATCGCGTCACCCGTCCGTCTTTCATTTCATGTCTTCCCGCTCACTGTCCTCGCGTCTCTCGACCATTTGCATGAGTCCGACTTGAAATGACGTCTATGCAAAAACGTGTGTGTGTGTGGTTCAGCTCAGTGGTCTGTGTGTGGGTTCACCTGGAGGCTGAAGTGCAGCTGAAAGCAAAGGGCTACGGTGGACGCAACACATCCGCCCTGATGATCGACTCACCGTTCGTTTACAAATGGAGAGAACCGGTTCTGAAGAACACAGCTGCAGGTCGGAAGCAGGGCAGAACTCGGGAATATAAAACGAACAATGTGTTCTTACCAAAATGCTAACATAGATCTGAAGCGGCTGAATAACCTGATAATAATAATTTTAATACGTTTAATTAGGAGATTCTACCGAGGACGCGTCTCACGCTCCTCACGTCCATCTTTGGTCGGGTTCAGACTCAAACAGGTCTAACTTGCACCTCCTCCTTACAGAGACTTTGTTGCGTGTTATACCAGGTCACCTGACTTCTTCTGCCTCTAGAGGCCTGACAGAAAAACCTAAATCTGGGTCGTAAGAAGCTGCCCGGCCGTTTCTCTGCTGAGGACGGGCTGGCTCTGCAGGTTTGTGGACTTGTTCAGTAAAGAAACGCAGCAGAAGCCCTGAGACGGATTGAATCAGGAGGCTATCCTGACTTTTAGACCGATTCTGTATTTAGAGAAGTCGTTTCCCACCACAACTACATCATCTAAATCGTCTGCGATGGTTTTCTTCCTTTTTAAGCTTCATTGTTGACTTTGGAAAAAGCAAGAAGGAGAAGAATAGTCCACCTACTGGTCACATGGGCTGTGTTCACAACAGAAGGCGTCGCTGCCGTAACACACAGGAGCCTCAGAAGGCCGCACTCTCGGGTGAAGGCGACAGAAAGCAATCTGCAAATGTGCAAAAAACCTTTTGTGTGTAGAAGTCAGTCTGTATTTTTGTGGATAAGATTTTACACATCACAAATGTAAAAATACATGTTTGTAGATAGTGAAATATTTGAGCATTAATATTTGTGGATTGTTTTCTGTGGGTATTAAAGTCCAATAAAATCTTCCATAGCCGTCCTGCTAGACGCCTTCTGAGACGGCAGTTTTAGTCGTTTTGAACGCGTGATGATAACTGAACCACCTCCACGGCAGCCGAGCGAACGCCACCTGCTGACGGGGAGGCCTACGAGACGCAAGTCAGTGCGCCAGAAAAACACGGGCGTTTCATTTTATTTGTTGTTAAATGTTTTAATGTCGTCGACTGTAAATTCATTTTTAACATAAAAACACCTTCACTGAAGAGACGACTGTAAACACATTTAATCTGCGTGGATACGAATGACGAGTTCAGCTGCGTTCCGTTTGCTTTGGAAGTCAGAGGTCGGAGCTGGGAATGACCGTGCTCCACTACAACAACAGATGACCTCCGACTTTCTGACTTAAGACGCAGTTACAGTTGAAATTTCGAACGCCAAATTTGCGACTCCCCAAGTTAAACGGAACGCAGCATTAGCGTCCCTCGGCTAGAGAAATATAAAATATTACCAGTGGAAGTTCTGGATATTCATCAGTCATTGTTCCTGAAACTAGAATAAACAGAGAAGCTGTAGCTTATTGACTGAATGAAGAGGACTCAGTCTGGGTGAAGCTGAACTAATCACGCTCGCTGTTGTGGAAACATGAATTCAACCTCTGGTCTGATTTTTAATGAACACATTTCAGAACGGCGTGCAGAGTTTACTGATTAACGGCCGCTTCTCCTGCGCTCTCTGTGAGTCTGAAGTCCTGAACGCTGTGCAGGTGTGTCTGTTGGTCAGGAAACGCTCGTCAGGGCTCATGTGTTGCAGGAATCAGACCCTCAGGACAGAAAGACTTCACTGTGTAACGCCGCTCTCGTTCCAGTTTGTACTACAGATGAACACACACACTCACTCCGAACCACCTGCAGAACAAACGAGTCCGGTTCTGAATAACGTATTGCACTTAAACATAAAAAATCCATTATGACCAGATATTCTGCATATGAAGTGCTACCATCTCTGTGTTTTAATTTGTCCGTCCCTGTGACGGTGGGAGGTTTGCACTCTGTATATCAGCCTGATGTGTTTGTGACTCTCTGTTTTCTTTCCATTCATGTCATGTCCTAATAAATAAAAACCTCACTGAAAACACCGCAGGCCGAGCCGTCTCTCATCTCTGTGGGTCGTTTCAGAGCAGATTTTTATGTTCCTGCATGCTGCAGATCCCAAACATTTCACTTAAATTACAGTGTGAACACCTGAGGAGGGTTCTGTGGTTACTGAGCTGTCTGAGCGTCACTGGGACCAACAAAGACAGGCTGCTGTTTGGGATCAAATCATCACTTCTAGAGGACAAACTCCGGCGTGAAGGACGACAGAGCTTCTTCTGCAGCAGTCTGTTCACATAAGTTGCTAATCTCCTGCACAGCTCCAGGATCAGCTGCCATGACAACTGAAAGTGTTTGTGTTTTTGTCACACTGACCTGTTTAACTAAGTTCATCTAATAATATGTCCTCATGCATGAGATATGGTGTAGAAATATATGTAATAAATTATATTATTATCTGTATATGTGACATAACACGTTGTCTGGGTCGCTATTCAACACACACAGGCTTATTATTGCATACCATGCCGATTATTCCAAATTATATAACATATATTTTATCAAATATACACTGCTGGTCCAAAGGTTTTAGCACGCCTCCACGTTTGTAGTTCTTCTGTAAATCTTAAGCTCAAGTCCAGTGAAAAACCTTTAATGGTACCAAAGTTAAAAACAGCATTTACATTCTCAGATCTAAAAAGAACAATTAATGGAGTTGTGTAAACTGAGGTTCACGAACAGGACCAGGCCTCTCTCACTTATTCTACCACCTGCGCTTCATTCAATTCCTCCAATCAGCCACCCGTACTTCACTCATTCCATCGTCCCTCCATCTCGACCCCTTTTCATCCCTCCATCTTGACCCCTTCGTCCCTCCATCTCGACCCCTTTTCATCCCTCCATCTTGACCCCTTCGTCCCTCCATCCTCGACTCCATCGTCCCTCCATATCGACTCCATCGTCCCTCCATCCTCGACCCCTTCGTCCCTCCATCTCGACCCCTTTTCATCCCTCCATCTTGACCCCTTCGTCCCTCCATCTCGACCCCTTTTCATCCCTCCATCTTGACCCCTTCGTCCCTCCATCCTCGACTCCATCGTCCCTCCATCTCGACTCCATCGTCCCTCCATCCTCGACCCCTTCGTCCCTCCATCTCGACCCCTTTTCATCCCTCCATCTTGACCCCTTCGTCCCTCCATCTCGACTCCTTCGTCCCTCCATCCTCGACCCCTTCGTCCCTCCATCTCGACCCCTTTTCATCCCTCCATCTTGACCCCTTCGTCCCTCCATCTCGACTCCATCGTCCCTCCATCTCGACTCCATCGTCCCTCCATCTTGACTCCTTCGTCCCTCCATCCTCGACCCCTTCGTCCCTCCATCTCGACTCCAACGTCCCTCCATCTCGACTCCTTCGTCCCTCCATCCTCGACCCCTTCGTCCCTCCATCTCGACCCCTTTTCATCCCTCCATCTTGACCCCTTCGTCCCTCCATCCGACCCCTTTTCATCCCTCCATCTTGACCCCTTCGTCCCTCCATCTCGACTCCATCGTCCCTCCATCTCGACTCCTTCGTCCCTCCATCTTGACCCCTTCGTCCCTCCATCTCGACCCCTTTTCATCCCTCCATCTTGACCCCTTCGTCCCTCCATCTCGACTCCATCGTCCCTCCATCTCGACTCCATCGTCCCTCCATCCTCGACCCCTTCGTCCCTCCATCTCGACCCCTTTTCATCCCTCCATCTTGACCCCTTCGTCCCTCCATCTCGACTCCATCGTCCCTCCATCTCGACTCCATCGTCCCTCCATCTTGACTCCTTCGTCCCTCCATCCTCGACCCCTTCGTCCCTCCATCTCGACTCCAACGTCCCTCCATCTCGACTCCTTCGTCCCTCCATCCTCGACCCCTTCGTCCCTCCATCTCGACCCCTTTTCATCCCTCCATCTTGACCCCTTCGTCCCTCCATCTCGACCCCTTTTCATCCCTCCATCTTGACCCCTTCGTCCCTCCATCTCGACTCCATCGTCCCTCCATCTCGACTCCTTCGTCCCTCCATCTCGACTCCTTCGTCCCTCCATCCTCAACCCCTTCATCCCTCCATCTTGACCCCTTCGTCCCTCCATCTCGACCCCTTTTCATCCCTCCATCTTGACCCCTTCGTCCCTCCATCTCGACTCCTTCGTCCCTCCATCTCGACTCCATCGTCCCTCCATCTCGACCCCTTCATCCCTCCATCTTGACCCCTTCGTCCCTCCATCTCGACCCCTTTTCATCCCTCCATCTTGACCCCTTCGTCCCTCCATCTCGACTCCATCGTCCCTCCATCTCGACTCCATCGTCCCTCCATCCTCGACCCCTTCGTCCCTCCATCTCGACCCCTTTTCATCCCTCCATCTTGACCCCTTCGTCCCTCCATCTCGATTCCATCGTCCCTCCATCTCGACTCCATCGTCCCTCCATCATTGACCCCTTCGTCCCTCCATCTCGACCCCTTTTCATCCCTCCATCTTGACCCCTTCGTCCCTCCATCCTCGACCCCTTCGTCCCTCCATCTCGACTCCATCGTCCCTCCATCTCGACTCCTTCGTCCCTCCATCCTCGACCCCTTCGTCCCTCCATCTCGACCCCTTTTCATCCCTCCATCTTGACCCCTTCGTCCCTCCATCTCGACCCCTTTTCATCCCTCCATCTTGACCCCTTCGTCCCTCCATCTCGACTCCATCGTCCCTCCATCTCGACTCCTTCATCCCTCCATCTCGACTCCTTCGTCCCTCCATCCTCGACCCCTTCATCCCTCCATCTTGACCCCTTCGTCCCTCCATCTCGACCCCTTTTCATCCCTCCATCTTGACCCCTTCGTCCCTCCATCTCGACTCCTTCGTCCCTCCATCTCGACTCCTTCGTCCCTCCATCTCGACTCCTTCGTCCCTCCATCTCGACCCCTTCATCCCTCCATCTCGACTCCTTTTCATCCCTCCATCTCGACCCCTTCGTCCCTCCATCTCGACTCCTTCGTCCCTCCATCTCGACTCCTTCATCCCTCCATCTCGACTCCTTCGTCCCTCCATCTCGACTCCTTCGTCCCTCCATCTCGACTCCTTCGTCCCTCCATCTCGACCCCTTCATCCCTCCATCTCGACCCCTTCGTCCCCTTCGTATTTCACTGTGGGATCGACTGATGACCAGCTGCTCCGTCTGCCTTCATTAAGATTATATCTAATATATACAATAGAGTCCAAATAAAGCTTATGAGGGTGGATTTAGAGGCTGTTCCAAGGTGTGTTTGGTTTCCTTCTGCTGCTGCAGAATAACTTGAAGTTGGAAACTCAACACTGATCCTACATTATGCTGCTCACTCGTCTGGTGAGGGCGGGCTGTGTCAAACAAAGAGCTGTGTTCCCACTGGCACGAGGACATTTTGTTAGATGGACTTGGATTAGATGGAGTCAAACCGCTGTGACACTGTGAAGCTGTCGACGCGAGCTCTTTCTGCTGGATCGTGTGGATCAACCCAGACCGACATTCCTAAAGGATCCGCAGAGACCGTGAGGCTGTGAGGCAGAGACACTCGGCAACATCAACTAGTGGAATAAAGAATATAAGTTTGTCGACGGGGCTGTGGGACCAAACACTGCAGACAAAACCAAACTGTGAAAATACTGCGGTATTTTGATGCAGAGAGAAACAGGTGACAGAAAGTTCCGCTGCTCATGTTCGCACTTTATTTCAGTCCCACAATGCAAAGCTGTCACAATTGTACTCAGCGGTGGACAAAGTACACAAATCTTGTACACATTGCTAAATTTTACTACACAGAAAGTAGAAAACTTGAGTCAAACATACCTGCTTTTAAAAATACTCAAGTACCAAAAGTAAAAAGTACCTGGTAGTCAGGGGTTACAGACTTGACTAACAGAATTTAAACCAGGCAAACTTTATGTAAGGATGATAACAATGCTGTAATCCTGATATAAGTTAAAAGATACTTAAAAATGTCCACAAAAAGCAGAAGTTAAAACTACTAAGTTAAAATGCTTTAATTCATTGCACTGTTTGTAGATATTATCTCTTTCCATCCATGATAAGATACATCATATCAGGAAAGAGAGATGTCTAAATCTGTCATGGATTTATATTCAAATGGATGTATCCACACATCAAACTACATATAAATATTGACAGGGTCTGGTGAGTTTGTCTTCAAGCCTGATTAACAGTTGCCAGAAGTCGGTTAGGTAAGGTAATCCAGTGATTTACACACAGCTCAGTAATCCAAAAAGAATATGATACAAAAATTTACTTTCATGCTGCGAAAACACTCTTCTCTGTGTGTCTTGACAAAAATAAGTCCAGTCTCTCTAAAAATTGACCTGAAACACAACCTGCTCGACCCTGAGCCGCTACGTAAAACGTCCCTGTTACATCTTACCCCGCGCTCCCCTATGTGTGACCCAGTAAGTATTCAGATCCTTCACTAAAGTAAACGTATGTAAGTATAATTAGGAAAATGTACTTAAAGTATTAAAAAATAAAAGTTCTGTGACTGTTATACTATTATACATCAGATTAGTCCTCATGCATTAATGTAAAGCAGGATGTTACTGTTCATTCTATCAGAGTGCAGCTGGTGATTATTTTCATTCTGGATCAGTCTGGAGTGAGGAGCTGATTATTTCCTCCGTTAATCGATTCACTGTAAAAGTTCTGGAAACAGTGACTTCCTCAGAGCCCAAATTGACACCTCCACGACTAACCCGACTCTCCGTTGTGACAGTCCAAACATAATTTACCAATATTCAGATTATTAAAATAAATAAAAGGAAAAGCACAAAATGTTTTTACATGAAAAATGTCTGGAACCATCAGAGTTGTTGCCAGTTAGTCTGATAATAATCCAGCGCTTCTGCCCTCAGGCTGCAGACACAAACAGAGAAGAGAGCGGTGACTTCATGTGTCTGTGCTGAAGGTTGTTCTTTTAGGTCCAGATTTCCTCCATCGAGGACATTAATGAATGAATACGGATCTGTACAAACTATTTAATTTATATTCA